GATAGATGTCAGCTAACCTTATATTTTATGGGTTCGAAGACTAGAAGATAGTCTACAACCAATTGGTAGACCATCTCATAAACGCTAAGCTCATTCCCTCCTCTCAACATGCATTTTTACCTATAACGTCATGCCAGTCCTGCCATCTCACTTTTCTCGAATTCGTTTCCAGCAATAGAGATGATGGAAGCACATTAACTTCAGTATACTTCGATCTAAAAAAGTCCTTGACAATGTTTCCCATAAAAGGTTACTACTAAAGCTAACAAGGCATGGAAATAGGACCCCGCTCTTGGTTTTCTTAAATCCCATCTTCAAAACCGATATTAAGTGCTGCAAATTCGCAAGTTAGTCTCAGAACTATCTCCTATTACCAGCGGAGTATTTCAAGGTACTATTCTAGGTCACCTACTATTTCCCATATATACTCACTACTTATCGTCCATATCAGTATCAGCTAAGACATTTTTATATGCGGACGACCTGAACCTTGCATATGCATATAACGGGAGTACAGTAGTCACTACAGACAGATCAATCGAAACCGATCTCGGAAAACTCACCGAATAGAGTAGTTAATGGTAGATGCCCTTTTCACCCGAAATATGCCATTTCCTGATCTTTGGTCCGCAAAAACTTCCTCCCACAATATTCGTGGAAAATAAAATAAAAGAATCCCAATTGATAAAAGATTTAGGTCTCAGCTGTACAAATACCCTTGATTTATCTCCCCACATCCAGCAAATATCGCCAAAATCCATTCGCCTGTGGGGATTTATATGTAAACATTTCATCTTAAATACCCTAAGAATACAACTCCTCAAAATATACGTTTTAACTCTCCCATACTACTGTTCAATTTCCTTCGGCATAATGCCCTCAGACGGCCAAGAGAAACAAGAAGGCATTCAGCGACGTTTTACTACATCTTTATCCAGAAGTGATGGCACCCGGAGTTCATACTTACAATTGTATCTTAAATACGGTCTTCGACCCCTCTGGATTAGAAGACTCTAAAATGGTCTAAACTTCCTATTCAAGGTCATAAATGACCAAGATATTCTTAAAATGCACTTACTAGCAAACCAAAACGACCCCAGAAACGCTAGAAATAGCGAAGATATTATGAGGATCCCCAATTCACAAAGCCCCATCGGTCAAATTTCTACTCCATAAGATATGCAACTATCTGGAATGCCCTTCGGAGTTCTATCTGGAAAAGTCGGACTCTAATCGAGTCTAAAATAAACACTAAGAAATTCCGTTCAAATAACAATACACAGTTATTTTTGAATAAAATAGGACACTTTTCAAGTCAAATATTTGATATAGAATGTGGTCCGAAAGTGCTCTGATGATTCCAACCGCTTGTATAACACCGGAACATTGCACTAAAAACAATCAAATTTCAGAAGGATAACATCATTGATAAACATAGAACAGATAGCGATATTCTTTCCTTCCTCCCTTTATCGTTTCTATCACCTATGTCACCTGACACTAAATATCCCTTAAGGGGCTAAAAAATACCACCCCTTTCGATAAAACCCTGCAAACTATTTGTGCGTAAGTCTATATTTAGGCCATATTAAACATATATACAACTATATTAGATTCCACAAAACAGTTGACCACTACTCCTATAATGCCACATTCAGAAGACCAATATGATACATGGTAAAATATTATTTTAACAGCTTTGATTGAGACTTACGACTGAATGTTTCTTACTCCTAATATATATTCATTTTTTCCAACTCTTTGTCCAGACAACTATGACAAGCCTCCTGAAAAACGCGAATGAACTGTGCGACCGTCCCCTAGCAGCTGGCCAAATAGACCGGCAGCCCGCTGTAACGCCCCGCAACCGCGATAGGGTTGTTCGAATGAGGAAACACTTTTTGGCGCGTGGACCTAGGATGGAGATGGCGTAACCGCGTGCTGGTGAAGATAACCGGTGTCCCTTCCTCTCATTTCCGTCGAGCCCTTTTCCCACAACGTACTCTGATGTTCGTATTGTCCTCCCTCTCTTTACGTCAGCACCTCCCTCGGCTCTTCCCTGCAGCTGCCCACAGCACTGCGTTTCGCACCGGTTAATTATCTGGTATGTCGGTATGGCCTCTCCACCCACACAGGTTACTCCACAGTTGAAACTCGCTCTGCTTATACTATTAACTATTATTGTACGCTTTTACAATTCCCATCTCTGTCCATTATACCTTCCGCTCACTTGACGTTCCTTCTTCCTTTATGTGCAGATGAGTATCGCGACTTACCAACTACACTATTCAGATAAACATTAGCCAGGATCTCTTGACAGTGCATCGCTACATGGGTGTGTGCTACCGTGGACGTCCTCGGCCACTACACGGCAACTAGCAGACACCCAAATTTATTAAACTCGAAAATAATTTCGAGGTCAGGGCGATACCAAGTTCTTCAATTTCTATGAAGGACATATTATTCATGCCACCACAAACTACCAAACCGCTCACTTCAATTTTTTATTGTGCATATAGTTCTTTAACAAAACTTTTGCGATTATTTTGCCCTGGAACTCAGGTCTTTTTAACTTAAAACAAGCTCTAAAATCGCGCTCTATTGACTAAAGAGACACCCAAAACAAATGAAGTCAAAGTGCAGTCAAAATGGATGAGTATGTTTTTGGTTTTTTCCTGAGTTCAAAAGAGCCTGGCATTGTCCAAGCCGCGCTACCATAAACCGATTCTAGAAGCAAGCCTTTGTCTCCTCTTTCGCATTAATAATGGTCCAAATTTACCTCGAATTTTAACCCTTACCATAGTAGTCGCCCATACAATCTTCGCATTTCTTCCTTGATTATACCTCCTCCCGCTTCCTCTACCTCTAAGCGTTCTTTTTTCATTTCCAGATATACTTTCCTCTGGAATAAACTTCCAATAAGTAAAAGATCAACATATAATCTACGTAAATTTAAGAGAAGTCTGCGCCAGAGAAGGCTGAACATGTTCAGCCTTCTCTGGCGCAGTCTTCTCTTATATTTATGTACACTGAAATCGACTTCTTTTACATTTATGTACACTGAAATCAACTTCTCTTACATTTATGTACACTGAATCGATTAAACTTTTATTTTCCTCATCCTTCCAGGACAACTTTCTCTACGACACCGAGAAAGGACTACCGGAAATAAGGATGCTGCCATTAAATCCCCGTATCCGCTCACCTTTCCTTCTTTTGGGTGTCGTATCGCTTCCTGGGATCCCTTATCAGAAATGTTAATTTTTTCGATTTTTCAGTTCATGCATCATGTCCCTCACAGACGCTCTATCGACGGCCTTGGCGGAACCTTCTGTAGTCACCATGTGCTAGTAGTCTGGTCGCGTCTCCCTTGCACCCCCCCCCCCCTCAGTTGGACTCTGCTGACTGTAACCGATCGCATCTGGGTTACTATCACCTCGATACTGGTTTTTTATTCGCCACTTCGAAGTGAATGGCTTCATCCGACATATGAATTCTGCCTTAATGATGCTCGTTCCGAACCTTTTACTCAATGCCACATGCAGGCCAGTCCTGTCTGACTCGCCTACTTTCCCCTTAATGAAGTCCGTTATACACTGCCACATACAGACCGGTCCAGCCTGCTTTTTATGCACTTATGAACGACAGTTTTTTCGCCTATAATGTTAGCCCAGCCATACGCATTTTGTTCATATGTTAGGAGTTTTTTTCACTGCTCGCTCGTCTTTCTGTGTAACATAGTACTTGTTCAATAGTTAGTGTTTAGATTTTGTATGCCTGTTCTAAAATTCACGTAAAAAGTGATGCTTGCTTGATATGAACGGACCCCCACGGGTGTTGAATAAAAATTATTATTATATCGCAATCTGTTTGTTTATATGGACATGCAGCATTCCATTCATCAGCATTTATCGAAGGCCTATTATTCTGCGAAAAAAAACAGGTACATTATTGGCGAACAGACAGAAAAGAGCGAGGCAAACAAACGACTTCGATTAAATCCACACTTAACGCATTGATTTTCGCAAATCAGGGAAGTATTAACGCGTCGCGTTCCGGCGCCCACGCAATAATATACTAAATTCAAGAGTTTAACATTTATTTCGAAAGCGGACATTTTTAAAAGAAAAGGAGCACGCGTGCTCATGTTGGCCATGGAAATCGAAATAGACGACATAAAGCGTGGAGCCTAACCATGAATAAATGAATAAAACAAAATAGTTTTATTCAACATCCATCGGGGTCCCTTCCTAGCAGAGTTGGCAGGTGTCACCAGACTGAGTTTTGAGGAATCCATGTAGAGCAGCCTTAAGTAGGTCGCTCCGTGTTAAGCGGCACATCATCTTATCTTCGATTTGGGTCTGTAAAATTTTCGAAACTGCTGGACATCCGTTTTTGTCCAAAAGTCGTCAATGACCCCCGTTGGACACTCTTGTGAATAGGTATAATGTGCGATTACTTCTACTAAGTGGTATAGGTTTCATTTTCGAGAGTTAGATAAAATATCTCGCACAGGAAGAACGGAAAAAGCTCATCTGCATACGCCTTTAAAATGCTGATCTGGACACCATCAGGTTCAGATTGGATAAAATGCCAAATGGCTGCAGTCGGCGTGTCTGGCGTTGTGAAGGAAGTCCTCTTCTTCATGGAACTCTGTGGTAGCTATGCTGACGATATTTTCCACAATTTTTAAAGACGGTACTTCATTGAAGTTTTCAGCTGTCATCTTGGCATTCGCTATTAAAGTTGTGAGCACATCCAGTGAGTTCTTATAGTTCAAAAAACAGCTTTACAATATTCAACGAGTGGTCTCGAGAAAAAGTAGGTCCATTGGTTAGAAAGTCTTATTCAGACAGCCATTTAACGCGCTGGAAAATACGGTAGACCAAGGGTAAATGTAAAATGTAATTTTGTGGGTGAAAACGACGGTGCTGTCTTTGTAGTTTGCATAGAAGACCCAAAGGAAGAAGAACGATGTCAGTGACACGAACTATTTTCCTATGTGGAACAAAGCAAAACAAAGGCGAGTTAAAATCCTTACAAAGTTCAACGAAGCCAAAATTGATATCCAGAGTAAAGAAGAACTGAGTCTAATCGGTAGACTTTCGGTACGCCAGTGGAGCTCGCCAACAGACCATGTAGAAATCGAAGACGGTCCAATTTTTTCAGAAATATTGTCAGGATAAAATTTTGTATAAAAAATATGTCATGGTCAGCGTTTTCCTGACACCCCAGAGATAGTAATGCAAACAGCAAATAGCGTTGAAAAAAGATGTGGGCCGGCAGACTTGATCGTCGCACAGAAGAGTCGTTAATTTGAGACCAAGGGTTCCCAATAACAAATTTACTACTTAATTTGTGGTTCAACATTCTTGGAGATTTTGATCAAAAACACCAAGGTATTCCAGAGTTCTGGATGCAGATGACACTCCAGATCTACATTTTGACTGGCGAACAATTTCTTAGTTAAAATTGACCTTGTATTATGGTCCGACTTTTAAAATTGTGGAGTTGCGCTTGCGGATCATGATTCAGGACACGTTACTGATCGTCTTCATTTCCTTCTTCACAGCCTTTCTTGGCGAAGGTTAGTAGACATAATAATTGGACAGTAAAACTGTGTTACAGGTACTGTCAGGAACCGTCTACCCTTAATGCTTAAGCAGGTTGAAAGGGCTCGGCCCGACAGATTGCGACTTCCTAACACTATTTCACAAGCCATCACTTCCATAGCCTCTGACATGTCATTGTACGATTTATTATAACTTGGTGAAGATGTCTTCGCAATAGAAATCGTGGGGTGTGCGTTCACCTCATGATTTCTCTTGTCGCGCATGGCGCCAAATTTTGACACGCATATAGGCCAGGTATAAATGTGGCCTTTTTATGGTTGGAGTTTAGACATTCTTGGTCATGTGAAGGTGTTTCGTGGTTCTTTCAATATTTCATTTTCCACATTCTTATCACCCTTAAATTACGCTAAGTCGGTGTGGATTTTTGTGTTGTGCCCTAGTCTAATGCCTGGTCTGACATCTGTACTTTCGAATAATGACCTTACTGATGTTGGGCCTCTTCAGCCGAGCTCCGCACTTACTTTACTTTAAGTATGGAATTTTGGGAACTCGATATTTCGCTTTCTATTTTTATGCAAGTAAAACCAAGACCTCTCGATTCAGTCTTAGACTCACCTAAGTCTTAAAGCCAAAATTCCATACTGCATTCTGCAGCCGACCGAAGGCCTGGTTGGCTTTGGAGATCTGATGAACCACTTCGTTGTCGATTTTATTGCAGCATGAGAGAGCACTACCTCGGTAGGCGAAGTTACACATGGTCTCAGATTGGGTGCCATTTACGTAAATGTGAAGGATGTTGTATGCGGTGTTAGGTGGAGCTTGACACCGCCGTTTTGTCCGCATTGATCGCCGGCCCGAAGTCGGCGCAGCCAGAGGCGGAGAGGTCCCTGCTCCGTGGTACATCTCCCTCTGTCGCGGTGTTGAGCGCGCAATCGTCCACAAAGAGCAGATTGTGGACATGGAGAGGCGCGTTAGGGTCTGTATGCACCCGCTACTGAGATGGTCGTCGGTCCTGTAGGCTATGCAGATCTCGGGACGCTCATTACGGTAGACGTCCATCAGCAGGGCAGAGGAAATGAGGCTGGAGAGTGTGGGACGACAACACAGCCATGCTTTACCCCGTTGGTAGCCTCGAATGCTTCTGCTCACCTTCACACCTGTATGTAGACACACAGGAGTTGTTCTTATTGTCGTCGTCTTCAACGAGGCCTCGTTTGGTCTTCCATTAGAGGGTCGGTCGAGCCCACGAATTTTCAGGATGAAGGGCAAGCACTGTCGGCCGGATACGTCTGGGTGGTGTGTGCATCCTGTACACACGGCCCATTTAGTATTCGTACATGGCTGTTTTGATGAAAGCCCTCTGAGTGGCCCAACGTCGAGTCTAGAGATTTCAACGAAATCGGGGACCGCGCGCTCCCGGTCGATCCGGGTACTCAGTTTTGCTGCATCCTCAAGAGTCACGGTAGAGAGAGGGGCTAAGAGGGGCGACTATGTTTCGTTCAGTAGCTGGGCAAGATGTTCTTCCAATTTAAGCTTCGCGTCTGTCAGTCGCTCCTACTGCGCACCTGTATTGTCCCCGATCCTGGCGGCCAGATTGCCAAACCTGTTAGCCTCTGAAATTATATTGAGCTTTCCGATTTCCCTGTTCGGCAAAGCACTTTTACTCCTAAGTGGGCGGTCATTGGACTATCAGTCGGGCAGATCTTTTGACCAAATATGCGAATTCTGCGGGAGCATTCCCTATGATCGTGGCATCTCTGAAAAGTATGTTTACGTTCGAGCCACTTTTTCCTATTAAAAACGCCTCAGAGACATTTGTCATTGTACATAACTAGTTCAGCGTGCTTAGACGAGTCTATAGTTTTTTTTCGACGAGACCCTAATTGGATTACCAGATGGCCGCAAACCGGCATTTTTAACAACGATGTCGTCCAGCCCGGTAAACATGGCAATTCTCTCACCGTTTTCAAGCTGATATAGCGGTTAGAAACTCGATCCCCAACCACTGCGCACCTCCAATCCTGCGAAGACGAGAAAATATCTCGTGAGAACACGTCCGGCGTCTGACTGAAGTTTGTCATAAGATACCTTTTTATGTATCCAGCATCATTGCATACGCTTGAACAACCTTGAGTTTGTCAACACAACATCTTAGGTGAAATGTGCAGTCTTCAGCGGCATCAATTTCAGTCGTAGAAGTGAGGCTTTGTCTTGATCATTCAAAGAGCACAGTTATCAGTGACACCATTGTAATCGCGACTTAAGTATTTTTCAGCATTTGACACCCTGACGCTGCTCACGGCATGATCTGACAAAAGCACCTCGCCAAAGCCAACTTTCGCACGTCGCTGCAAAAGTGGTTCTCATGTTCTTTCTTCAATGCGAACAGGATAGCTTCCACACTGGCCGTTCGGATCCTACTGTGCGATTCCTATGGACGCCGTATCATGAGTCAGGACGCACAATATAGACCTTTGTATAAGACTGAGATTCAGGGGTCCCCAGTCCTCACCTCAACCTTTGCACGCACATCCGTCCAGCAAGGTATCGATGACGGGGAGAAGTCACGTAGCAGTGACTCATGCCGTCCACGTCACAGTGCCGTCGCCCAACTCCGTGACACTTTATAGTGAAGATGGGTGAAAATCCGCTTCTCAGATATCGCGTTCATCATTCCCCGAAGAAGACGAAGACGGAGAGAGGACGAGTTCATGGACGTTTAGGAAACTTCCTCGTCTAAGTCATCAGAGTTGTGTAGTCGCTGCTGGTTCGGTTTTGCCACCCGCCCCCTCCCGTAGCCGTGCTCGACGCACGAACTTTGACCTGTCCGTTTGCTACCAAATAGCTTTGACACCTCTGAAGATGGCCGTTGATAGGCTCAAGCGACCTTTGCTCCCTTGTGAGTAGTCAAGTCAACGTCGGCCTGTCGGCCTTCCCCACGTCAATCGGCGGACTGAGCAGTTGTTTCTGTTCGCGCGAGCTGCTTTTGGCCTCGCACCCGCGTCGGCGAGACAGTGTTTGATGTTGGCCACGTGACCTCCGGCCGCCCCCTTCCCTATTTTCTGTAAGTATCAGCTCCCGGTTCCGCGTGCTCGACTGTCCTACTAGCTCTGTTCGAATTAATCCGAGCCTTGTACGTAGCGCTTGGTAGGTGAGATGGAGGTCTATAGCTCGGTTGATTGTGCCAGTCGAGGACATACTTTCGAGTACCAGACTGGCCATCTTCTCATTGGCCCGGCCGATCACCCTTGAATTCTCAAAGGTTGAAACTATGGCCGAGCTCTTGTATGTGGCCATGTACCAGAGACAGCTTTTCCTTGCGGTTGATTAAAAGTTGGTGCTTGTGCAATCTTTTTCCAAGGCGTTTGCCCGTTCTACCAACATACCTTGCATCGCAATTTTGCATGGTATGCTGTAGACCACTGCTGATCGCTGTTACTGGTAGCGGGTCTTTGGGCATGATGACTTGCCGTCTGATTGTTGTTTCTGGATTGAACCACACCAATCCCGAAAGGTTTCCGGATTTTTGCCGTCGCTTCTGAAAAGTTCTTCGCATGGGGGATTGCGGGCCAGAACTTCGGCTCTTCTCCACTCAAAATGAGGCTCCTTGAGGTACTTACGTATAAAAGACCTCTGATAACCGTTGGCGTCACGTGACCACTGTCGAACACTACCTCATCGACGCGCATGCAAGGCTGTAAGCAACTCGCGCGAACAGCAACAGTTGATCAGTCCGCCTGTTGACGTGGGAGGGACCGACAGGCACACCGGCTTGGCTACTCACAAGGTAACAAAGGTCACGTGAGCCCATCAGCGGCCATCCTCAGGGGAGTTAAAGCTAGTTGGCAACAAACGAGCAGGCCGAACAAAGTTCGTGCGGGACGGGCAGTGATACTAAATAACTCAAGACCTGTAGAAGCAGCGCCCACACAACTCTGAAATTTTTCGAACGATCGGTACAAGTATAGCTTGGTCCACGAACTTGCCCTCTCTCCTTCTCTGTCTTCTTCGGGGTAGACGAAGGTGCGCTCGCTGATAGCGATACGGGATACACTCGTCCCGCGTTGCCCCTTAGGACTCACCCCCGAGCCCCGCCATCAACCGCACAACGGTTAGGTAGTATAGGCAGAATAACATTACAAACGAAGACAAGGAGGACTGGAATGGCTATTTCTGGCTTATTAGCCGTCGTCAGCCAGTCATACCTGGCCCTAGGTTTTGAAACACCTGGGGTTCGGACCCGCCCTCTTTTGCTTATTAGTCTAACGTCCTAACGCTTGGACTACGGACACGCAATTCTGTCGGTTTCGATCGGGTAAGTTAACTGTGGTAGAGAGGTTTTCGCCGATCACGTTGCGGGACGGATATGTCCCGTCGCAAACGATAATACATTGACAAATTGCGAACAATGCACTTAAAGCGTCTGCAGCCACGCATTCTGTATGCAGATTTAAACGCCGAGTTGTACTTTGGCACTCATTCGCACGCTGTAATTGCATGCAGTTTGTTATTCATTCACTCGCCATCGCACCATCACTGCCAGGAGTGCCTTCTGTTTGCTGCTCGACAACGGAACGCTAATAAACCTTATAGGAATTAGAAAGAAACCTACCGGATGATTGGTTCAGCAACTGCATGAAGACCAATGCCAGTCTTAGAATTTGCGGTGTGACCTGTCGGTGCATGCCTGTTATTTATTAGTTGCCAGATGCTTTGCTCTGACCCGGAGCCGCAAGCCGTAGCGAAGCCTTCGTAATGCGTTCTGCAATTGAAACACGACAAGATGTCCACCCATGGCCCAATTTGTGAGCCTTTGGTTTAGTGCTCAACGACCTGAACATCCTGATTCAGGCTCTGGGCTCTTCCGGCCTGAAGAATGACTGGCTTGTATTGACAACCAAGCCAGGAATGGTCTTTATAGTTTCTTTTTTTTCTATTTTACCGCCCTACGACTACCTGCTTTTGGTTCCCATTTCCCCTCTTTGCGACCTATCAGTAAAAAGGGACGTCTTACTACCCCCAGGTCTTTCATGGCTCCTTGTCTATCGAACGGAAAAGTACAAAAAACTGCAAGCTGAAGTCGACAAACAAACAAAACGACGTAAGCGTGCCCTTCTGTATTCATTTCTTAGTGGAGAAACAGCGGGATTCCACCATGGAGACCAACATTGACAAAGCGACCAAGAAGCGTCTCGGTAATGTCCACCGCTCCATGCTTACACTCCTTTAACGACCAGAAAAGCAGGAAGAAAAGTTAAAAAATTTCAGTCGGGATCTCTCCCTGGTCAAAATGAAATCCATGTTTGCCATTGGTGTGATATTTACTGCGCTTTTCAGCGTTTTTAACCACACGTGAGTTAATTCTTTCCATCTTACTACTCCCCCCCCCACTGCGTCTCATCCTCCCTCCTACTAAGTTATTTATTTGATCTTATGTAGTTTCGATGGACGTGTTGTTGCCCGCCTACCTTTCGTGCCGATCTCTTGGCTACAAAACCTGTCTCATCGGAACCTTCCTGGTTCTGACTACACAGACTGCTCCTTCATCTTCCTCTACATTCTCTGCACCATGTCGATTCGACAGGTAGGTTGTCTTCCCTCTCATCCTTCGTCGCTCTCCCTTACTTTTTACCCGATCTCAGTTTCACGCCTGTGGGCCTACGCACGCACTGAAGAAGGGACCTCCAATGGCTAGGGTATGTGCTTCACCATACGAAAGAGTTGATCCTGTTCAGGGTCTCGGTCCGCTTAACGCTCCCCACGCTGATGGGGTTTCCGACTTATTTGCGTTCATCAGTCGGACATATCCCAACTTCAATAGGGACAAGCTTGATCGGTTGATCAGCCTAGGTTTAAGTCACACCAGCATAAGAAACACGAGCTCACGCCCTATCGTCTGCGTTCGGGGATTTTCAAAGTTACACGGGAGGAGTCATTCACAACTCTGTCCTGATCGAGGGACGGAAATGAACATTCCTGTTTTGTCTTGAGGCTCCAGGTCTGGGGCCTTCTCAGGCGTTTTCATAGAGACGAGCTATCACTTACGGGTTGGGGGAAGCGAAAAGGCATGTTCCAGAAAGTACCCGCGAATCCAATCGACCAACAGTTAAGTAAATAGGCCATTATTGTGGAAGAACTGGATGTCTGCGTCAATTTCGGATACTTTTGCCAACTGTTAGGCTCCCGTATGCGATTATGAATGCACAGCATAGGGACCATATAAATACTGATATGCTAATAAAAGGCGAGTTCCAGGAGGTAGTCGCGAAGAAGGAGGCACGATCGCTGGAACAGAAGCTTTATTAGCCTGGCCTTTCGGATTCTCACTTGGGGACAGAGTCAGATAAACGTAGTGGATTGCCCAGGTGTTGCAGTCTTTGTAGGATGTAGTTGACAGGCCGCTACATGTCTATCACAGTTGGCAACTCCCGAGCGCATCACGGCTCAACCGGCCAGCTATTGAAGTATGCAGTTGCTATATGCCTGTGTGCCGGCCAAGATTATCGGTTCCCACGCTCATCGCACGCAGTCGAGTTGCCGACTGCCGGATTTCGTTAGCCGTGCTGACTCCTAGGCGATTTGGCTCGCAGAAATTGACACCAGGGACAGTGATTGTCTGCGCGCACCTCGCGGCTAACTATTTTGCCTAAGCAAAGTCTTGGCGACGAATATGGAGCGGGGAGGTCTTTGCGCTTGCTGATTGAATGAGGACCGGAAAACCATGACTTTCGCAGTTCGCGGCTCACGCGATCGTCATCGCTAGCAAGAATTTCTGCTTCATCAAATTTAAATGTGTGATTGTGTCCCGTCGAATGATGCCCTGATGAATTGTTAAGCTCGTCAGAACTGAACACGCGTTGGTGCGAGGGACTGAAAGGGGAGGAGTTGGATGACAGTGAGACGGTGAAAGCAAGTGTAGTGATGAGCGACTTCAGACTGTCCGGCGGTCATGACTGCTTTCTATCCAAAATGAAGGACCCAGGACCGCGGCTGGCGCCTGACGTGACCATTAATGACAACTTCTTTTGCTTCCCGTGACAAATGAGAGCTTCTCAAACCACTTGTATGCTGCACCTCAGTGCTTGCATTCATTAGTGAGCCAAGCTGTGCATTTGTGGTGAGATTGTAGTCAACACTACCTCTTGGACTGCGTGACCGGTTATTAGTTTAAGGGGGCCTCAGAAGTAATTTGCATCTGACCATCTCAACAACTGTAGACGACGTGCTCAAAGACCTGCCTTCAAACACTCTCAACAATTTCGGCAATAATTCTGACGATGCATGAATATAAAATGAGGATTTAGCTTGAAAGGTTGTTCAAGCATAAGTGGAGACCTAAAGTTTAGCAAAAAGCAGTTTCTCAAAGTCAGTTATGACGCGTACGGAGTGACAAATTGTGCATGATGCCCTTGTACTTTGTGCAATGAATCGTGAATGATTCAATGCTTTGGGGCAGTCAAAGGAATTTTCAGCTTGCTGGCTTACTTTGAACCAAGATTTTCTGTTGATTGCGGTAGGAAGAGTTTTGCAGAAATTGGTCTTATGGCGGACGAAGAAAGCCAAGGGATTATGAGGTTTCAGCGAAGACTTGGAGATGCAGATTATTCATTAGGCAAAGTAGGTCAGAGGCGTCTTCCTTGTTGTCAACAATCGTGAATATATCATCCACGTATCTCTTGTATAATGTTGTCATGTTTAATTCTGATGACACCTTTTCTTCTAAGTAACCCATAAAAACATCGGCGAGGGTTGGCCCGAGTGGACTACCCATTGCGACTCCGTCAATTTGCCTGTAAAGTTCCCCATTAAACAGAAATTGAACATCTTTGGTACAAAGTACTAGCAGATCGCGTAGTAGTTCGGGGGAGAATCGGGTTTTGGACGCATGGGCGCATATAACATCTATTGTTTCATCTAATGGTACATTGGTAAATAAGGATTCCACGTCTAAAGAGATCATACACTTATCGGCGATGTTCTGGTCCTTACTTTCTTCAATGAAATGAAGACTGTCTTTTATCGTGTAGGTGGAAAACAATTGTCGAATTGGTTCTAGCTCCTTGACAAGCCATTTTGCTAGTCTGTGGGTAGGTGAATTAGACATAGAAAGAATAGGCCGTAAAGGTGTGTCCTTTTTATGCGTTTTTGGTAGACCATATAGTCTGGGGATATGTGTACTCTCGGTTTTAGGAGTAGTGCGGTTTTAGTATCGATCAGGCTTTTGTCCAACAACTTTTGCACCTTCCGGAGTGACAAATTGTGCGTGATACCCTTGCACTTTTTGCAGTGAATCGTGAATAAGTCAATGCTTTGAGGTAGTCAAGGGAATTTTCAGCTTGCTGGCTTACTTCGAACCCAGATTTCCTGTTGATTGCGGTAGGAAGAGTTTTGCAGAAATTGGTCTTATGGCGGGCGAGGAAAGCCAAGGAATTACGAGGTTTCAGCGAAGAGTTGGAGAAAATTCACCAGTAGCAGACACCAAAGTCTGTTTTTTGCACAATACCATTGCGCACGTGCTGAGTTTATTTACTGAAAGCCGCCGCGTGTGACTCCGTGGCGCAACGGTAGCGCGTCTGACTCCAGATCAGAAGGTTGCGTGTTCAAATCACGTCGGGGTCACCGTTTTTACGCAATTATACTCCTTTTTAAAGTGTAAAGTATAAACGCTATGTGACTGTCTATCAGATGACTGCAAGAAGGCATATTTTTGTCCGTGTTCTTTATAAAATATATTCCATTTTGCGAGACCCCCGAAAATAAGTGGGAAAATGCATGCTACTCAAGTAGTCATTGTTTAACAAGCCCTTTTTCCACAGAAGATTGAAAAGTGGTGCATTCGAAAGCTGGCACCCTGTCGAGTTCGAGGCAGGCGTAGTCGGTTTTGCAACCGCGCCACATACCGGAAGACGTCGTTTACTTTTGTGGTTGTTCTCATGCCTTTCCAGAACAAGAAATCTTCCATTATAACACTGACATAGAGATACTCACCAATGCAGTGAGTTGACTGTATTTCGCGACATCAGTTTTTTGGCCAAACTGGGGGAGAGGTTCCAATATCAGCGACAACTTGATAAAAAACGTCCAAACTCTGAATAACATTATTAGATAACGACATTAATTTAACCTCGTCAGAGACTCCTTTTTTCTGGAAAAAAATTGTTCTGCTGACTAATGTACATGGTTATATCAATGCTTCTGCACTTGTATGAGGCTTCATGCGTTCGGCCACTTTATACGCCGCGTGGTAAGCAGCCATCATTTTTCATTTGATAGAAAACTTAATTTTGCGAAGGTTTCTTGAGTGTTAAATCGGAGTCTTTTAGCTTTCGAGGATTCACCGTCATGGCCGGCGAAATTTGCACCCCATGTTGGTTGTTGCCATGTTCCAGCAGCTTAGACGATTCCTAATTTGCTTTGGAAAAAACAACGCCACAAAGTGCGCGCTGGGGTTTTTGTACATCATCAGTCTCTACGATGCGGGCGAACCCCGACCTCAGATAATCATAATTCCAATCTCTTCTCTTTAGCATCACGAAGTGTTAATGGTAGTTGAAAAAATGAAACCTGAAAATATGGATCATGTTGATTAGATAAAAGGCGGAAACTGAACTGGGATAACTAGTGCAAGAGAATTAACTAGCGTACATGACGCTGCAAAATGCAACTTACGTTAGCACTTTCGCGGTAAATATGTTGTTAACGCATGGGCTGGAAGTCTATTTTGCACGCGCACCAAAGTCCTGCGGAAAATTTTTCAAAAACTGTTTCATTTATTTTAAACAAAATATGAAAATACAATTTCGCACCCAATAGGACGCTGAATAGCACCCTATTCTAGGAGCTCCTACTCTTACTTTGAACCGAAATTTTCCGTTGATTGCGGTAGGAAGAACTTTGCAGAAATTGGTCTTATGGCGGACGAGGAAAGCCAAGGAATTACGAGGTTTCAGCGAAGAGTTGGAGAGAATTCACCAGTAACAGACACCCGACCCTGATTTGCACAATGTCATTGCGCGCGTGCTGAGTCTATTTACTTAAAGACTCCACATGTGACTCCGTGGCGCAACGGTAGCGCGTCTGACTCCAGATCAGAAGGTTGCGTGTTCGAATCACGTCGGGGTCACCGTTTTACGCGCAGAAAATTATACAGGTATCTGTACTTTAGATATTTAAAAATTGAAGATAGCACCTGTCAAATGGATGCAAATGCAATAAAGACGCTTTTACTTCGGGTATTTATGAGCGCCCTGAGGGCTGGGCTGATGATTAATCGTCAGTTGAAGTTGCGGACCGTTAATTGAAATATAAAAGCTCACCCCACGACCTATTCCTTTCCGTGGGCTGCAATGAGAATGCTGTATTTTTCGAAAATTGGACTGGACATTTGACCCATCCTTGGACTGAGCAGTCGAAGGAATTGACTGAAGTCATTACGCGAGGGTATTTTCTCGGAACATTTGACCATCTCAACAACTGTAGATGACGTGCTGCAAGACCTGCCTTCAAACGCTCTCAACGATTTCGGCAATGATCGCAAGGATGCATGAATATAAAAGATTGTCCAGACATGAGTGGAGACCTTGAGTTCAACAAAAGTAATTTTTCGAAGCCCATTTGACACCTATGAATTTCGAATTGTGCATTCAACCACTGTACTGTATGCAATGAACCGTGAAGGATTTACTGCTTTTGGGGAATCAAAAGAATTTTCAGTGTGTTGGTTCACTTTGAACTAGAATTTTCTGTTGATTGTGGCAGGAACAGTCTTACAACGACTGATTTTATGGTAGATGAAGAAAGCCAAGGAAATATAAGGTTGAAGCATTATTTCCCCGCAATTAATTTAAAGCAGGCATAGACAGCAGAATTTATTGGAACCAGTAAATTTCACGACGGCTTATCAACTGCAGCCTGTCGTTGCATAACACAAATAACAAGTGAGAAAGATACAGCGGTTTGAACTTCCACAGAGAAAATAAATGTAAAACAGCAAGGCCATCGTATACTGCACGTAGACTAATCAATAAAATGGTAACTTGAAAACACAACGCAGGAAAGAAAATGCGGAAGTTAAAACGCCGAGGGATTTCGTAAGTCAAACGGATGCGGATCTACCAGGGCAAGCTGAGGTTGACCACATGGTCTAACTGTTTGCATAGGTCGGGTTTCTCCCGCCGTGTGTAGGCTGCCTCCGAGTTGTTTGTCGAGGGATTTACGAAATCCCTCGGCGTGTCAACTTTCCCATTTTCTTTCCTATGTTGCGTTTTCAAGTCGCCATTTTATTGATTAGTGTACGTGCAGTATACGATGGCCTTGCTGTTTTACATTGATTTTCTCTGTGGGAGTTCAAACTGCTGTATCTTTCTCACTTGTTATTTGTGTTATGCAATGAGAGGCTGCAGTTGATAAGCCGTCACAAAATTTACTGGTTCCGGTAAATTCTGCTGTCTATGCCTGCTTGAAATACAAGTTCTCAGCGAACAGTTGGAGAGAATCAACTCATAGTAGGACACGCCTACTTGACATGCATATATATATTGACGATTGTCATTCTCTTGGCGTAGATGAAGACTTCTCGCCACGTCAGCTGCTGTGTTTAATCCCATTGCCAGTTTGCTTTACTTTCCTGGTCACTGGCATTTTGGAGAGGGAACTGACAATTAGGCTACTTCTGATCAGATGCAGTTTTTGGGAACTATCACAATCCGCTAACGGTTGTAACTTAAAAGGTTGCTAGCTGACTGCACTCTGCTAGCTGTGGAAGTAGCACAGCTGTGCCACGCCCTGTCGTCTTGGGTGTGGAAACAGTTGCGTGAGACACGGTGCGCAAGTCTGTTTCTCCGTAAGCAATTTGCCACGTCGGCGTCGTGACAGTTAATGGTCTTTGTCGCCTACGACTCCCACTTATATGACTTAGTCCCTACAGCAGCAAGCTGACCGGACTTTGAGCCGCATTTTTACTCCTGAAAATCGTTTCGCGCGGCTTTATTTGCCCTTATAGTTTGGCGTGTTATTTCGTGTTATTAGGCCGACCAGGGTCGAAGCTGGCGTTGTCATTATTTTCAAAGGCAGTGGCTGTTATGACCCGAAAGGAAGTTTGAACGGAATGAGGGCCGGTTCGGAAAACACCTTTTTATCTGAGGATAATGAACTGCTCACAGATCAAGGGACTTGCAGGGCTGACGTTTCGAAGAGCTGGGGCGGCTCTCCATTTTCAAAACGTCTAGTGAAAAAATCGATCAGGATTTTGAATGGACAGCCGGATTAGTTGGCCTTGGTCTGATCGATTTTTTTCCTTCTTTCGCTGTCTTAGCCTACCGGCCGTCATCTGTGAGTGTTGGTGGCCTCCTGTATTGTGTTTCGCCACCTCAGTTGGGGTTAGTTGCGTTTGCGTTCCCCTTTTGGGTGAGTTGGTCGACAGGCCCTGTTTGCTCGGTAGTCTTAGGCGCCATATGACTGTCTTGTCTTCGTCACGGCGTATGTAATGACGTAAAATTTTATAGGCCGAAGGAAGGTCTAGATGCCTTTTGATGGAGTTGGCATCAGAGGCGATGGCCGGTAGGCCTAGGCAGCGAAAGAAGAGAAAAAAATCGATCATACCAAGGCCAACTAATCCGGCTGTCCATCCAAAATCCAGATCGATTTTTCACTTGACGCTTTAATAATGGAGAGCCGCCCCAGCTCTTCGAAACGTCAGCCCTGCAAGTCCTTCGATCCGGTGAGCAGTTCATTTTCCTCAGATTATCAACCCGGATCTCTTACTTTTGCTAACCTGAACGCCTTTTTATCGATAGCTAACGAACACGGGGTGTTTCAACCTGTCGGAAAGACGCCTTATTTGTGTTGGCCCTTGCGCTTTCTGGGACATTCCGGCCAATGGCGTTCCCGCCCACTGCGTGCCGGTCGCGGATTGGCCACCGCCTGCGCCACGCCGCTTTTTGTTCCGAATTGTTTACACCGCTAGGCCCCAGCGGTGTCCTTGTGTTTGCTACTTTGTTTCTTTGCCTTTATTGTAGAACGTGCAGAAGATGTTGGGGTTTGCTCCCTCGCGCGCTTCACTGGCACAGAATTCCTTCGGAGCAGCGCAGTGAAGACATCCTGTTTGCGCTGTCTGAACGCTTGTGCAGCCTGTTTTTGCAGACCTTTGTGCTATCTTTGTCTGAAAAAATGGACGATTTGTGATTCCTTCCTCTTTTTTTCTTTGTCTACTGCTCTTGCCTTTCTCGTTTCTGTTTCGTAGGACCTCCAGAACTATTCGGGTTATGGCCTTTTGACATGTCACGTGAAAATGTTCGCAAATCGTAGATGAGAACAAGTAACAGTATGGTCATTACAATTTGATACTAGAAGTACCCTGTGTAGTAGGGATAATAGTTCAATAGACTGGAAGCAAAACGTAAATTCTGGACGTGGTGCCGGTTACCAGCAGTTATCCTTCAATCGAGGAATCCACCCGTTGGGGAGCAAGCAGGAGAACCAGACAAGATGCTGTCCGTTAATTCAGGGCTAACGACTGTGGAGTCTACCTCCGCGGAAAATCACCTGTATATATCTAGCACCCACAAACATTTAAATAAGTAAATAAACAGCTCTTCTCTTCACTCTTCGGAGAAGCAAGCCTGTGTAGTGTTCAAATTGTGTTTAGAATAGGCAGTCAGTTAGGGAAAAAACGAACGAACAATGCAAAAATTCCCCCCAAAAATCGATTGAAAAAGAAATAAGACGAACGTGATTT